CCAATTGACAATAAAAAGGAAAAAAGAGAATACTATTAAATTTTGTTTTAGTGTCCCGTAAGGCAGAAGGGAAATACACATCACAGTTTAAAACTTAAATGCAGAAGGCATTTCTAGTCTTGCGAAGTGACTGGCACATTCCCAGCCATTTGTGATAGACCACGTCCCTGTCCTTTTATAGTGTAACTCTGCAGCTCCTCCAACCAAGAGGTGCAGTTCTATTTCCTTACCCCTTGAATCTGGCCTGGCCTCATGACTTGCTTTGATCAATAACATGCAATGGGAGTGACCCTGTGACGTCCAAAGCAAGGCTTTGAGGCCTTGCAGCTCCTGTTTTCACCCTCTTGGAAAGATTCTGCATCATGAAAAGAAACCTAGTCTAGCTTACAGGAAAATAAGAGACCAAGAGGAGACCCAAGATCAATAAGCCCCAGTCAACTACCAGACATGTGACTGAGGCCATTCTGGACCATCCAGCCCAGGATCCCGTCCCAGGCTCTCTTCTCTGCTAAATTAACACTCTACCCCTTGATACTTTCAACCTCTCCCGTGGCTTCAACTATAAACCAGACGCTGAATGCTAAATCTGTAATTCCACCTCTGAAGTCACCTATACTCCAAATCCATATATGTAAACATCTTTTGGACACTACCATTTGGATGGCCATAGGCATCTCAAACTCATCAAGCCCCAAAAGGAACAAATTATCCTCTCTCCACAACCTCATGTTCCTCTTCCTATAAATCTATCTTGATGAGTGACATACTCAATCACCCAGTTACCGAAACCAAAAACGTTAACCCCATTCTCTTCCTCCCTGCATACCTAGTAGGTCACAAGTCCTATCCATTTTATTTCCTTAATATCTCTGGATTCCTTCTCTTCTGTCCATATTGACTGCCAATATCATAATAATTTCTTACTTAGATGACTGCCAGATCCTCACAACTGGTTGCCCTGACTCCAGTCCTGCTCTTTCCTCCACATTAAAGCCAGAGAAATCAAAAACTTAAACCTGATCATGTTACTCATTCCCCCGCTTACAGTCCTAGAATGACACCCCACAGCTTCAGAAAAAAAATCCAAACTTAGTCTGACATATGAAGCCCTTTATGATCCTTCCTATCTCTCCAGCTTTACCTCACTGGCTGTCCGTTTCCCCTATCCAAGTCATCATCAACATACACAAACACCCTACACATACCTATAACCACAAGAACTGCTCTGCAGTTTCTTGAATGTGATACGCATCCTCTTATCCTCAAACCCTTTATATAGGGTTCTCCCTCAGCCTGGAACCACCTTCCTTATCCTTTTTATCATGCTAACACCTATACAAACAACAAGACTCAATTCAGGCATCACCTTGTCTAGATCACCTTTTATGACACCCTATCCTATATCTCCAAAGAATTTAGGTTAGACTCCTTTCTCTATGAGTTCCCAAAGTATTATGTGCTAACTTAGATAGCATAATTTAATACATTAAACTTACACAGTAGAGACTATGCATTCAAAGACAAATGAGTGGAGTTTGACCACAGTCTAGTAAAGAATAGTAAGAACTGAGATTGAATAGGTTGAATAAGTTAAAGGCATGTTACACAAGACCTTAAAAGGTAAGCAGAAGAATACTGACATAATGCAGCAAAAAGAGAAAGATTTCTGCATAGAGGAATGACAGAGTTAGGGCATGATTAGAACTAGAAACATTTACGTAGTCTAGCCCTTTTCTTTTTATAAGAGGAGGAAACTTAGCCCCAGAAAAATGACTTACTCAAAATCACTTTAAAATTATAGCTACAAAAATATGGATTTGCAGTATATAGAAAAGGGAGAGGCTAGAATCACAAAAGCCAGCTGAGTATCACATCAAGTTAACTGTCTAACACAGCATCACCCAATAGGAATTTCTGCAATGATGGAATGTTCCATATCTGCATTTGTCTAATATGGTAGCAACTAGCCACATATGGCTATTGAGTACTTGATTTCTAATATACTTTAAATATAATTTGCCATGTATGGCTATTGTATTAGACAACACGAATCTAATGCATTTCATGTTCACAAAGGAATGGCTTGAAAAACAATTCACTTCTACTAACAAGAGAAACTAAAACACCAACCATGAATACTTGAAGGTGGTTAATATCACATTCTCTTACCTCATCATAGCTCGCAGTTCTATCAATCCGGTGAATGATATCAATATTCACATTCCCCAATCGTTCAGCAAATGTAAGAAACTGGGAGAGAAGGCATATTTAAGATACATCATCACTTATCAGATCTTAGTATCTGTTTAGTACTATATAATAATTATACGTGGGCAATTTTCTTGCAAAACTATAAGGTTTAAAGCTTCAATAAGCCCCTTTATGTATAATCATTACAACTAATGGTATCCTTTGCTTGTAATTTCAGGTGTGTTTTCTCTACATCATAAAATGTGTGATTGAGTTTTGAAACTAAAAGTAGACATCACTGATAAATCACAAAGGATAAGTGTAAAAACAAACTGAAAAACATAGACCCTTAAATAAATGTCCTGCATTACTATTCAAAGATAATGAATACTTCTATGTATTTGTATAAGTTCTTTCAACAATGTCATTTCAAACAAAATTTCCATGCTAGACTGGTGAACCAAAGTGAAGGCTGGCGACTGCTCTCCCTAGACCTATTAGGTTTCATACCCCGCCACAAGCACAGGGAATTAGCTAAGTCGCTGCAATAAGTGTTTTTAAACATATACAGATAGATCTACGGTTGTATAGTAAGACCTGTAAAAAAAATTATCAAGGGGCAAACGGAGAAAGTGTTGTAGCAGCCATTAGCTGAAGTCACTCACCTTCTCCAGCCGCCCCCCAATTCAGTCGTCTTCGGTAAAAGAACAGGGGAGAATCGGACCTAAGCAATCTCCTGGGATAATGAATTTACTCTGGACTGAAGGGAATTCCCATGACGGACCAGACTCCACAAATTTATGGGCGAAATCTGCTGTCCAGACTTCTTTCCTTCCCCACCCCCATCCATGTTCGCTCCACCCGCAGAGTCTCCCTCTTTCGCCAGAGCCTCCAGGCAAGTAATTCCCGTTCGGCCCAGAACTCTATAGCCCGTGGAGTCCCGCTCAGACCCAGTCTCACGGCTGAGGCAGCAGGGACTCGCAGCTCCCGCCCCAAGCTTCCACGCTCACCCGGTAGGTGTTCTCGGTCTTGTGGGAAACAGGCTTTGTTTTCATGGCTGCAGAGGGGCAGCGGCCTGCGAGGGCCTGCAGGAGGGTCGAAGGGATGCAACCCGCAGTAGGGAGGGGAAAATGGCTCACAAGCTTGTACTTTCTGATTTCCAGGTGCCCAGACTTTCTCACGTGCGGCTTAAGTTACTGGGCGCCGCCATGGTGGAGACGGGGAGGGGCCTGATCGGGTCACGTGGGCGGAAACGGGGACGGAGCAGGCGCAGGCTTCCCCGGGAGCCGGCAGGAGTCAGGGCGATGCTAAGGGGGCGGGTTTGTCGAGGGTGCGGGGTTGGTTTCACTGCCTTTGGCCAAGGTTTGCAAGAAAAACATGTATTTTCATTATAAAAGAAAACATGTCTGTCATCATTATCAGCTAACATTACTGCCTCTCACTATGTAGCCTGCACCGTGCAAAGCTCTTTCCGTCAATAATTTTAGAGTAAAGCCCACTGGGAATGCTAAATAAATACAAAGGAGGTGCTGTTTGTATTTTTAAGGCCCTTTGACACAAGAGGAAACCAAGGTTGTGCCGCTGGTAAACGGCAGTCTTCACTCAGACTTCAAATTCTGATATTCTTAATCAATATGCTCTAAAAATGAAATTGGGAAAACAAGAGTTTTAAAGAAAAATCTTTTAATTTCATGTACAACCACTGTTAATGTTTTGGTGTTTTTCCTACCACTTTAATGTCTCTGGCATAGCGTGTTGCGTGTTGTTAAAGATAATTGTAAAAACGATTTATACACACACACACACACACACACACACATATATACACATATATGTGCAATTTTTTTTCTTTTCTTTTTTTTTTTATTTCAACATATTATGGGGGTACAGATGTTTAGGTTACGTATGTTGCCCTTGCCCCCCCTCCCCCATGTGTGCAATTTTTAAAAATAGTTTTTTAAATATTTTACCCCACACTTAACATTCATTCATTCATTCAACAACTGGCCTCTATGGGCCAGGCGCTGTTCTGGGAGTTGAACGAGAAAGACAGTAATAGTATTACTAATTCTGCTTGTATTAATAGATATTTTGTCTGAGGTGTTTACATCTTAGATTGTTAAGGAGAGATGTTAAGTAGACAATTGGATACATTGCTGTATAGAGCTCAGTGTAGCAGTCAGGGCTAAAGGTGTGATTTAGATACCTTAAATACACCTAAATACCTCAAGTGTGAGGTGTTTGTGATTGAGAAAGAGAGCTAGTAAGGTAGAAACAGACTAGCCATGGCATGGAAGCAGAGCTGGTAGCCAACTATACTGAAAGTTAAGGATAGAGATGTGGTTACTGGATCTGACAAGGTAGAGGTCACTGACGACCTTGACAAGTACAGTCTAGCTGGAAGAAAGGAAGCCAAATATACATGGATTGAGGAGTAATCAGAATTGAGGAAGTGGATATAACACTTTCAAATTGTCGTTATTGGCATTATAGCATCAACATTTTCTATGTCATCACAGGGTAGTTTTAAATATTTTAATGCCTCATAGAATTTATAATTTTTATTTTTTTATAATAAAATATTGAAATGCCCAATGTTTGGTTGGCTTCCAGGAGGCTAATAATTGGCCCTTTTTTTTTTTCTTTAGAGGTTCTTAGTCTTTTATGGGTCACAGATCCTCGGGGAAACCTAAGAAAGCTGTAGAACTTCTTCCCGGAAAAATGCAAATAAGCTCATTCACATGAAAATGTGTAGGTGATTTCAGAGAGTCAGAAGCCTGCAGAAGCCTCTTGAGGGTAGGAGCTCCCACTCTAAGCAATGTTCCCAACCTATTGCAAAAATCATCCCGATGTAATTGTGTATTTTGCCTTTTCTGTTATTTATTTTTAGTAATAGAGTTAACTGGACAATAGGAAATGGAGAGAAAAATGAAAAATCAAACTAAAAGAACTGACAGAAGTTATGTTGACCCCCCCCCCTTTTTTTTTGCATTGTTACCGTAAAAAGAAAATAAAAATCTCAGGACCACCTCCCTAACTCTTTATACAAAAGAGAAGGTAAAGGCCTCAAATACCTGTAAAGAACTAGTCCAACAGATCATTCATTAAGGAAATTCATTGCTGGCCTCCCATGAGCAAGGACATACAAATGGTAGCTTTAGGTCTGCAGGCTACATCTAGCTACTAAAACTAAAGTCTGTTTGATTCCACAGTAATAATGAATTACAAGTTTATCTTCACAGGTGCAGGACAGAGACAAGATAGGATCAAACATTCTTCCACTTACCCAGGAACATCTACATAATCATGCTTCCTTCTCTCTCTTTTTCTCTTCCAACATTCATCTTATCTTATGTAAAATATAGATTTTCTTGGGTCTCACAAAAAAGTAAGCATTTTTGTCTCACTACTCCCCAACACACACTTTTTAAAAAAAATTTCTCTATGCCTTTAAATGCTGAAACTTCCAAATTCCCTTTTGGAAAAACAGCCACAGTTTTGTCTGTGATTTGTGTTTTCACCAGGTGCATCCTCAACTTTGGCTTAATAAACTTCCCTTGATTGAGATTTTTGCCTGGGTCAGTTATTTTGGGTCAACATCACTCATTATATATCCTCACATATTGATTTAATTTAATTGGTTTAACAATAAATCAATATAATGCGGTGTTTGAGAGCACAAATACTGGAACCAGACTGTCTGGGTTTGAATCCTCGTTTGTCCATTTATTAGTAGTATGAGCTTGGGTAAGTTACCCTCTCTTAGCACCATTTTCTTATATGTAAATGGAGCTAACAAAAGTACCTACCTCATAGGCAGTTGTTGTGCAGAGTAAATAAGCTAACTAATGAAAGATGCTTACAGTGGTGCCAGGCACCATAATTGTGCAACCTTTGACAGATCATCTAACTTTTGTGAGACCCACCTTCCTCATTTATAAAATAGAAGTGTTAATAATACCAATCTTTCAAGATATTGTGTTGGTGCATAGAGCATGAAATAAATGATTTGCTGAATGGATAAATAAATGACCATTTATCCTCTACTATCTGGCTACCTGAGAAGTTCTTTAAAAACAGAAACCATGTACTTTGTAACTTTGTGTCACCACTGTGTCCCTTGAACTTAAGAGTTGTTTAATGAATGTTTGTTGAACTAACAAAGCATACAATACTTAATTTAACCCTGACAAATTTAAGAGTAATATAATTCCTGAATTGGCTGTGGGTTACATAATAGGATTTTTAAGGTCTCTCCCAAAGCCAAGTTTCTGAAGTCCTGTGGAATATCCAAAGCAGCAATGAAAAGCACCACCGTTTCCTTATGAATATCTCCCTGCCCCTAGCTTTTGACCCCTGTGCCAAGGCCTTGAATACTCCATACCATCCTCTGTTTCCTTTTTCTGTCATGTCTCTGCCTTCCCCATTCATTCCTGCCAGGAAACTTATGCATGTAATTCTTTTATTCTTTCTTTTTTAGCCTTATATGGAGCTCCTGGAAGTTTTGCTTTTTAATCTTTATTTCCTTATTGCCTAGGTGAACAAAAGATCTCTGAAAAGGGATTTAGAGGAAAGAGACATTGTTCTAGTGAACAGTTTGAAAACCAGGGAGGGGCAGCCTTAGGTGTAAAATAAAGGTGTATTCCAGAAAACAAAGGGAGGGTTCAGGTTTTATAGAAAAAGTTTCCTGCCCAGGTTCCCTATCAGGTCCATTTATGCAAATAAAAGATTCAAACTTGCTGAGTTCTGGTTGGTCAATACAGCTGAGCCCTGATTGGTTGACACAGTTGAGCCCTGATTGGTTGATACAGCTGAGCTCTGATTGGTTGGTCAGGTGAGTTCTGGAAGTTCCAAAGTTGAACAGAGGTGTGGGTTTTCAGGAGACTGAGAGTACATGTTTGACAGCAAATGGCTGTTTGACTCTATTTTAAATTTAGCTCTACTTAGCCACTCTATTCTTCATGAAGGACTGGCTCTTTTAAATGCACATTTCTTCACACCTAGCACACTGCAATTTCAAGCCCAAGGGACTTGGCGAGCACATGAGAAGTTTACCCAGCCTAGACATGGAAGTAGAATACAGAGAAGGCTTCTGCGTGGAGGTGACATCTAAGCTGAAACCTGGAAGATGAATAGGAGTTAGCCAGGCAAGGGAGGAGCAGGGACACAAATGGTGTTATCTAGGTGGAGGGAACAGTGTATGCAAAAGTTCAAAATGGTTGAGACAAATTTCATTATTTTTAATTCCTAAGACAAAGCCGCACTCTGTCAAGTTAGTATTGACCATTAATGTCATCCTTAGCATCCTTGGACTAATATGGGAACTCTCAGTTCTTTCTGTTCAATTTTTTTTTGTAAAACTAAACCAGCTCTAAAAGTAAAGTCCATTAATTTATTAATTAAAAAAATGCATCTATCCCTAATTCCTTCTCCTTCTCAACCTGGAGTCTTTTGGAGAACATCACAGCCAACCGAGATGGGATCTGAAAAGATAACACCTGACCCTTGAATCCTGGGAGCCCCAAGATGAAGTAGGACCAGAATCTCACGAACACCAAAAACCAGGAAAATTTGGACCTGTTGAGATCCAAAGTGAATCAGAGAGAGAAGTGAGTGCTTCAGACACCAGCTGGGGAAAAAAAATTCATTTACTCAGTGAATATTTCATAAGTGCCTACTATGTGTCAGGAACTAGTGTAAGGGCTGAAGGTACAGTGGTAAACAAGCAAAGTTCCTGCCCTCACGAGACCCAGGTTCCAGTGTGGGGAGATAAAAATAAGCATGGAAATGTATAGATTGTCAGATGTACTAAGTGCTATGGAGATAAATATAGCTAGTGGAAAGAGAATGTGGCAGAAACTTAGAATTATTCTACAGAATTCATTCTCCCTTTCATCTTTTAGAAAAAGGACCTCTATCTCAAGTTTTAGTTGGTTATGTGTCCGTGAATTACAGACAACATTTCCCCACCCCCCCCCCCACCTCCCACCTTGCACCTAGGTATTGCTTCGTGACCAGGTTCAGCCCAATGGGTTGTGAGTGCAAGTGCTTTGTGTAACTTCCAGGTCATTTGCTGAAAGATGAAGCTGCTTATCTTGGACTCTTTCTTTCTCTTTCCCACTAGCTGGCAAATACTGATTAAAGAATTCTCAGAAGCCAAGAGTAGAAGATGGCAGACCCCCCCGGCTTTAGCCTGTTTGATTCTTGACTGTTAAATGAGATGGAAATACATTTCTATCTAATATAAGCCACTTTGGTTTTGCACCTCTTTGTTATTGTGGCTTATGTGATACCAAATTCAGGGAGCACCAGGGCAAAGTGGGGGGAGTTTTCTATATTATATGAGGTGGGAAGGCCTCTCTGATATGATGACATTTAAGTAGAAACGTGAAAAAAGGGAGGGAGGGACAAAGGCAGATAGAGGAATAC